CCCCGAATGGGGCCAAGTGAAGAAGCGATAGTCCAAACATCCCGAATTGAAAGTCGTAGAGCCGAATAATGATCCCGGGGTGAGGTTGAAATCGCACGGCAGCTGCATGGATAACGGATTCTACAAATACAGAAGGATCCTTACCTTGGTGTTCCGGAGCGGTGATCCCGTTGTGTACCGCTAGTTGAACTGCTGTCGGCGCAAATGCGTACTTTGACGTTCGTCGAGGTGCCTCGACGTCGGTCGAAGTCGGTAGTAGGCGGGGTGTTTTTGCTGTAGACACCACCTGAACAAATCGTGCCAGAAGATCAGGTTGATCGAGGAGTTGCTCCATGATTCTTGCGTCTAGTGAAGGCGAACGGTTGGTAGGTTTGCCCGAACTGTGAGAGCCGGGTGGTGCGGCTGGAGGAGACACGCCGGTAGTAGTGACGTGTACCGCTGGAGTCTGCCTAGCTGCGCGTTGCTCGAAGTCCGAAGTTTGGCGAGCTGGCATCACACGAGCTGGACTGGCGGGTTCTTCTTGGTCAAATAGGGAGATAATGCTGTTGGCATGGTCTGGCGGTAGAGAACCTTGAAAAGAACCCCCTGCCTGTGAAGTAGAACCCGCGGGTACTGGATCTACCTGAATCGGGTCTCGGCAAAATGAAGGCCCGATAGTCGCTCGAAGAGCTGCGGGAATGGGATGGTTACCATCTACTGCGAAGGCGTAGTCCACTGCATGCTGCAGGCGAAGTGTACAGTCTGTACCGGTACGTGGATCAATCCACTGGTGGGTTGAATTTCCGTTCGGTATGTCAGGTACGGGTACCAGTCCGTCCAAAATCGCCGGGATAGCATTGGAGGCGGGGGAGCCCGCACTGCCGTCCCGGATTCGATCAAGAATCGTGGTTTGCATATCGGTCAGTTCGTCGCGCGTCATGGTCGCGCGTCATGGCCGCATGTAGAGGTACACGAAGAAGTAGCAGGGCCACGACCGGCGCCACAGGTGTTAGTCGCGCTGGTTCAACGAGGACGACTCGATCTTCCAGTTGAAGACGTGCGAGGCGACCTTCCATTCCAACGACCTGCCCGTGCCAAAAGCCGGAGGCTGATTCGGTCCATGCTGCTTGACGCATGAGCTGGCGCACACGTGTACGGGTCGCCTCGATCTTCGTGACCGTTAACGTTCGCGCAATGTCGATGTCGATCTCTCACGTGACCGGGTCGTCCAGATCGAGCGAACGGACGGTCACCTTTTCAGCCGTTAGCGCTGAAACCTTCGCGTAAAACGGGTATTCCGCGAGACCTTCAACGTGCTCCGGTAGTAAGAACACGAATCCGTTGACTTGGAGCGTAGCACGGCGAACCATGTTTTAATCGTAAGACTGGTAGACT